CCACCCCCCACCCCCCACCTCACCTCATCTCTGTTCATATTTTGAGTTTTCCTGTTTCGAATGAGGTTAGTTTCATACACTAGACTCAAACATGTCTCCTGTTCTGTGATTTAACTGAGGGAAGCTTTTTTATGTCAGTACTGCTCTGTGAACATGGGATTGCTACTAAACCAGTGCTCTACTACTAAAGCTAGAAAAAAACACATGCAGCTGTAATAACTTTCTCAGTATAAGAACATTATATAGAATGTTTAATGAAGCTTTGATTTGTTTATTTACAGATAAGAAAACAAATGCTATTTACATCCTGATGGAGGCTAGATTGCAGGCACTGTTCAAATCTGAAGAAGAATACACTATGCTAGAGAAGTGAGTTCCACACCACAAACCAAAACAATGAATCGTTGAATTTCTTAAAAATTCTGGTCTTCTGTATCAATGCTTTTATTATAAAGATGTTGGCAATTAAGAATATATTTTCATCATAAAGGTCAAATGATTTTTTTCAATCAATATTCAATGTTTTAAAGGACATTGAAACCATCTATTAACTATTAATATCAATGCACCAATAGGTGTCCATACCTGTTGATGAATTCCTCTGATGAAAACTGTTCAATACTGTTCAGACTGTCTTGATTTGAACCTGTTATAAGCAGCAGTATTAGCATACAGTATTTAAATTCTGTTTCAGATTCAAAGGCAAAGCATTGGTTGGGAAGAAATATAAACCCCTATTTAATTATTTTGAATATGTAAGTACATTTTATAGAGTTAGCTCTGAATTGCAGATAAACGATTACAATTTCTTCTATACCTGTGGATGCTGAATTATATTGATAGACAGACAGACAGACAGACAGACAGAACTTGTAATATACATAATTACTAAACATTTGTCTATCAGAAACTCCAGGCGTGAAAAAATTGAAAGCTTTGCAAGTATGCAGGTTGTGCTAGCAAATGTATAATTTTATTGTGTATGATTTGTAGATGGGGAGAGAAAAGGGTGCATTCCGAATCCTTTGTGATGACTACGTCAGTTCTGAGAGTGGTACAGGCATTGTACACCAGGCCCCATACTTTGGAGAGGTATGAGTTTCAAACATACAATTTCTATAAACATGGTTCTAAAATAATTAAAAACATTTTTTTGTTTTCATTTCATTCAACTTTATATGACTGTCTTCATGAAAGTTAGAAAATCGCATCCGCAGATCGGGGAATTTTATACTGTTGTCAGTCAAAAATGAAAATAAGGTGGATTAATATAAATGTTTGAAAACTTGTTTCCAGATCCTTTTCCATTTGTGTATTGAATTGTAAATGTATTATAATGCAGAAAAGAAAAGAAAGTTAATACATACTACTAATAAAATGCAAATAATTGTGATGAGATATGAATTGAAAATGTGAATAATCAGAAACAAGATCTGTAAATTATGTAATTATATTGGATGCTTTTAATAGAAACATTTGTCTCAGTTGTTTCTTTTCTGTCTTGGTTAAACCTGGATTCTAGTGCCACTATGTATCTCGATATAGTCTTCATACAGTGTTGTCTGTTGATTACAGGATGATTACCGAGTGTGTTTGGCAAACGGTATAATCAGCAAAGACAGTGCCATGATCTGTCCTGTTGACGCTAGTGGGAAATTCACAGACGAAGTCGTTGATTTCAAAGGAATGCATGTCAAGGTAAAAGATTACTGACGATAATGTTAATTTTGTGCCACTGTAATTCTGCATCTAATGATCATTATTTATGTTAATGCCTCCTCATAGCCTTGTTGCTTAAATTTGAAGGTTCAATTAAATGAAATCAAATACAGTTCAATCCAATGTTTAAATTGAACAGATGTAATATTAAAATGATGACTTTCCTATTAATAGATTAAAACGGGATTCGCCCTTCAGATAATTTAGTAATTTTTAGAATATCTATACCAGTTCATAGTATTAAGGGCCAAGCTGATTGATAAATTTAATCTGTGTATTTCTGAAATGAATGTTCAGTGCTGTTGTGTTTCGTTTAATCATGAATTGATGTAAATTATAATATAATTTAGGAATCTTTTAAAATGATATGAATTTGGTTTTACTACAGGAAGCTGACAAACACATAATGAAGATGTTGAAGTCAAACAAGCGACTGGTGCACCAGGGTACTATCAAGCATAGTTACCCGTTCTGTTGGAGGTACAGCACAGTTTCCAGTGTCAGAAATATGTTTTATTGCTTTTAATATTGGTCTAAGGGAGATAATTCATTACGTTTTTCGTAAAGAAGAAAGGAAATTTAATTCAATCTACAAGTGAATTCAATGTATTTCAGATATAAAATTGCAAGAAAAATACCACATGTTTCAGATTTACACATAATTAATTGCTTAATATATTGTTATTTTTATTCTTTGCAGGTCTGAGACCCCTCTGATCTACAAAGCTGTTCCAAGTTGGTTTGTTCGTGTGGAACAAGCCACACAAAGATTATTGGCCAATAATTCTAAGACGTACTGGTATGTTGTACTGATACGTAATCATTTTAATATGAACCATGCATGTTTACAATATTATGAATTGGGCTGTTCCAGAACTAACTGTAGGAGATGGGTGGGAGGCACTTTTTTAGAGATCCCACTACCCATAAAATATTAAAAGTTACTTAATATAAGGAGTGAAAGGCAGCTCTGGGTTTAACCCCACCACCCATGATATATAAATACATGTGTCTCCCACCTCCTCATACCATAAATTATGGAGTTTAGCCCTTACGGATACATTGAGTGTCACTTCTGAACTTTTCTCCTTGCAATGCTACATAATAGGACAGTTTTCTTTACATTTGAATATCAAGCTAGAATACAGAAACGCTATCAACCTAGTTATACACCTTCACAAATTAGTTGGAATAATTTGGTCATGAAACATGATGTGGCTCTCTGGTGGACACATTCCAGGCATTAGACATTTGATTTTAGGCCTGATTAACTTATTGAAATCTTCTGTCAAAGCTGAAATCTTCTGTCAAAGCCATATGTCACAAACAGATAATTTTTTATCAGTCATGAGTCAACATGATAATGAAGTTCTTTCCGTTCTTTGACTTGTAGTGATATATTTAGTGGATGAGTGATTCAATCTAAAATTAATTATCCTCTGTAATTGCTGGTTGTAAGAGAATTTACTTTTGATTCGTTTTCAAGGGTGCCTGATTTTGTAAAAGAAAAGAGGTTTGCTAACTGGCTGAGAGACGCTCGAGACTGGGCCATCTCAAGGAACCGCTACTGGGGCACACCCATACCATTGTGGGTCAGTGATGATGGAGAGGAGGTATGTGTCATCCTGTACTCGTAAATTTGATGTACTTGGTAGCCCAGAGTTATGTTTTTACAATTTATGTGATATTATTATCATTACATGATACATGTATAAGATTTAGTTTAATCAATGCCAATCATTACACCAGAACTGAAGTATTTGAAATTGAATTATTTCGGTGTAATCAAAATTGCCAGATAACTGTTTATAACATGTTTATAAAACCATGAAAATAACAAGGCTTTGTTCAGCTACGCATTTTTATCTATTACAGGTTGTATGTGTGGGATCAATAGAAGAGCTTTATCAGCTTACCGGTGTCAAGGTGGATGATCTACACAGGGAAGTGTAAGTGAGCAGGATTAAATTACTTTCCATCTTTGCTGTCAAAAGAAACATTTTCTTGAAGTTCTTGTTTTATTAGATACCTGACTGCATATGCATAGTTAATTTAATTGAAAGGGATTATGTTTTACTTAACTGTATCGATTCTTACAAAGTTTCATATTATATGCTTGTGTTCAGGATTTTTTTTATTTCATAAATTAGCTACAATCTATATTATGCCAAGGTACTGTTTACACTATATGCAGTCTGCACAGTCCAGCTATTCTGAGTTTCACATTTTATTTGCCAACATGAATATCATAATATCATAGGTAGAAAGCATTGTAGTGGGAAGTAGATAAATCTGTTTCAATTGCAACGTGACAAAAGCATGATCATGGAAAATAGCCATACTGTATGTGTGTTCTGCTCGTAGTTTAATAGATGGTTTGATCAAAAGCAAAAAGAAATGCACACAGCACTCTTATATTATAACAAAATTTGTGGGGGTTCAATATAGAATATTTAACTTTTCAAATATGATTGTGTTTAAAATGAGTGATCTTTAGCGTTAGTGTTAGAGTTATGTTAATATATTTCCAGTGTTGATAAACTGACCATTCCCTCTAAGCTGGGTAAAGGACAGCTGAAACGGACCCCGGAGGTATTTGATTGCTGGTTTGAGAGTGGTAGTATGCCCTACGCACAGGTTCACTACCCCTTCGAGCGAAAGAAGGACTTCGATGATAACTTCCCAGCTGATTTCATTGCAGAAGGAGTGGATCAGACCAGGGGTTGGTAGGTATTCCATTAGGTAGTTACTTATTTTATGTTTATGTAGAATAAAAGACTTCATCAAAACAATATTTTGGAGAGAGAAAAGAAAAAAAATAACGTAAGGAAACCTTTTTTTTTTGTGGATGATTATTTTACCAATAATGTTGCAAACAAGACTTTATGAAGGATTTGACTTTGCATTAGAAACAGTATTAAATTACATCCTTTGCTCTAGTATGTCTGAATTTGATTTGTAAGCAAAGAAGTGATATGACAACGCAGACAAAGGAATCTGCCAACACCCCTTTATCGACAAACAAACTACCACAACTTATAGCACAGATCAAATATCACCATGAAGCAACACTACATCATAAAAGTATGAATTTTAATTTGTATGACATTTTAACTTATCATCACATCTATCTATTGTTTATGGAAAAATAAATCGCCAAATACAAATGATTTACAGTTTTCATTTTGACCCATTGCCAAATGATGTTTTTGTGATCAGATTTGAAGTGATGATATTATGTATCTTAACCCTTTCACCACTGCAGACCACAATGGACTCATCCAAATCAATGCATAGTCAAGTTTACTTAAGTTACATGGGGGTGAAAGGGTTAAGGACAAAATTTTATCACCGACAAATAAGTTTGAATTAGAGCTGATTTTATTGTAGTCTATTAAAGTGGTATGTCTATGAGTTGTCTGACACCAGTCATTGTTGCTTTTGCAGGTTTTACACCCTCCTGGTCCTATCCACCCTGCTGTTTGACAAGCCACCATTCAAGAATCTGATTGTGAATGGCCTTGTGCTGGCATCGTAAGTACCTCTTCACCTCTACTTGATTCATTCTGGATTATTGACTGGGCGTTATTGAATAATGATGATATTTTGTAGCATTCCATTTTGATATGGATGGTGAATGTTGACATTTCGATGTGCTACAAATATTCAACTGTGTTGACTAGATATGATTTGTTAATGACGACATCCATTTAAAATGAAAAGGATAAAACTGTGTAGAAAAATTTAATTTAGCTTTATAGAGGGAAGTCTGTTTAAAAGAATTTGTCTTCCTGAACGGAATCTTTTTTCATTTCTCAAACTTTCTGTTTCTTTATTACAGAGATAAACAAAAGATGAGTAAGAGAAAGAAGAATTACCCTGATCCCATGGAGGTGGTCAATAAGTATGGTGCTGACGCCCTCAGGTGAGTAGGAACTATGTGGTCCCGGTAGGGGATGTCAACAGGTTGGTGCTTACACCCCAAGTTGAATATGAACTACCTAGATCCCATAGACACTGTGTGTTAACGACACCGGATATTGGTACCAGGCAGGTAGTGATCACACGAAGTGGGCTTCTGTTGCAGGTGAGTTTTTTTTTATATTTTACTTACTTCAGAGGCTTGTATGTTGTTGGGGCTTTTTGGACCAATTCCATTCCTATATGGGTCAATATTTCTTCTAGACTTGTAAACAAGCCGCCTGGTATCGGCGAAAACTCACGAGTGATACTTATCACGTGTCTGAATTGATATTTGTAGTATTTTTTTCGAACAAATTTCACTACCTATAACTAATTAATATGTATATGCATTACATACATTTATCGTATTTTCAAAGTCGTCGTAAATTATGAGAAATATGCTGACATAATTTCATAGCATTGTAAGTAAACGCTGAAAATGTGTGGTATTGATCAAAAAGACTCAAGCTCATGACAGCCTGTGAAGTAAGGAAAATATATAAAAAAAAAACACTTCAACTGCAGTCCACCTCATGTGATCACCGCCTGCCTGGTAGCAATATCCAGTGTCGTTAACACAGATAGAGGTGGTCAATAGATATGGTACTAAATTTATCCTCGTGTGAGTATTAATTATGAAGGACAGATAATATGCTATTATTAATTTCAATTCTCTATACAAATGATGTTGTGGGATATGGTTGTAACAACTGTTGTGTTTTGTGGTAAGTGTGTTAAAAATGATTTTGTTAAAATCTCATTGTTTGACTGATTTTTTTTTCTTTTTTTATCAGTAATAATATTGTAATATCACTATTCACGATTGATTTGTCTCACAATTTGACACCCAAACATATATTGTATATCACGAAATGAAAATAATATGCTTTTAGACTGTTCCTTTATATGTCGTTGAACACAAGTGAATTACATGTTTCTAGATTGTACCTGTGTAACTCGCCGGCAGTACGGGCGGAGAACCTGTGTTTCCGTGAAGAAGGGGTGGAACGAGTCCTCAAGGATGTCTTCCTTCCATGGTACAATGCCTACAGATTCTTCATGCAGAATGCAGAAAGATATGAGAGAGTAAGAGTTATTTCATTTATCCAAAGTTGTTGTTTGGAAAGTCAGTTTTTACTCGATATTTTTTATGTGATAGATGCAAACTAAAGTCTTCAAATATGTTTTACTATTCTTTGAATCCAAGACTTAAATGACATCATTTTTGGAAAATTACAAAAAGTATTTGAATTTACGTTGATGTGCTTCAATTGCTTTAAATTAAACAATCTGCCAATGGAATTTAAGTGGATATTTCATAACTTGTTTAAGAAGCATCTATTTGTGGTTCCAGTAATATTTTTTAACAAAGATTGAAATTTAATTGTATTTTTAATGTAATATTGTTTATTTATTACTGATCGCTTTCATCTTGCTTTTTTCCAGGAAGATGGAGGTGTGTTTTTGTACAACCCCGACAAAATATCACGCCCCACAAACTACATGGACCGCTGGATGCTGTCCTCAACACAGTCTCTTCTGAAATTTGTCAAGAAAGAAATGTCGGGTAAGTCTTATGGGAAATGTCCAAAAAGTCCTATAAGTCCTTTAGAAAACATCAGGTATGACCTAATGAATATGTAACTTAAGTCCTGTATAAAATGCTCCAGCTTTTTTCTGTGTCCACTTTGTTGGGACACAAAAGTGACTGAAAGTGATCTGCAGCCCTCGTTTACACATTGAGGCCCTCTGTCTTCTTATCTCTTCAACCTAGCTGCACTTTCTTGCAAGGACACAACCCTAAACATGTCTTCAAATTGCCTTAGGGAGGACACGTAATGCTAGGGCTGTTCCATAACTGAGAGGCACCTGTATACAATGGGTCCTGAAGTTAAATCCAAATCTGCTTACCCTTCCTTATATTTCATTAGTTCAGGTTGAACATTTGCTGGCATGTTGGGCCTCTGAAAAAGTGCATAAGTCTCCCACATGTCACACCCATACAGTTAGCCATTCCGCTTAAGTCGCTTTTGAACCTTAAAGATTGGCAAGTCCACTTTAAAAATGTAGGGGTGAATGAATTAATTCAAAAACTGCTCAATAATAAATATATGCTTCATAAGATTTTGGGATGGAATTTTGAAGCTTATTAAAGTACAAAGGACTATTTCATTGTGAACCCATCAATAAGTATGTATCTGTATAATTCCAGAATACCATCTGTACACTGTGATGCCTGTGATGGTCAAGTTTGTCGGTCAGCTGACCAACTGGTATGTGAGGATGAACCGGAAACGTTTAAAGGTGAGTAAGACACTGTTTATACAGTACAGCACACTTGATGAGAACTTTGGTCAATGGTGCCTGCAGAGACTGTCAGCAATGTGTTGATAAGTACTGTAAGGGTTGACTGACAAAATGTTATAAGATATATAAGGAATATCACATAGGTCTTTGTTTGACGTCACAGTTATCAACAAATTTTTGTTGACAAATACATTCAAAAGTGCATGTGCATGTTTGTATAATAAACAACAGCCACCTGCAATGTCAGATGAAGACTTGGATGGTATTGTACTTATTACATACCTACATGTGACCGTCACATTCATATGGTGTTTTCTGCAACAATGATTATCCTATTCTAACATTTAGTTAACTTCCTGAAAGTTTAAACCAAACAAGAAAGGCAGTAGATCACTAGAGCATATAAAGGTTCAAAAATATTCAGAACCTTTTCTTGTTCATCCTTTAGATCATTGTACTAACCAACACTGCATGTGTCTTGCTCTGATGTGATTTATTCTGTATGCGTTGTGACAGGGAGACGGAGGAGCTGCAGACTGTCGGATGGCACTGGAGACGCTGTTTGGTGTTCTACACTCTATGATCAGGGTCATGGTACGTTAACAGATTAATGTGGTCTTTTAATGTTACAGATAAAGCTGGTTGTTGTATGCATGTAATAAAGATCTATAGTGAATCACTATGAAGATAGAATTAGTGCTTTGGGTTAAGATATTCAAATGCGTAGTTATAAGCAAGGTTAACATAATTTATGAATAAAGTTTGTCCTTTTCTGAATTAAAACAACTTTCTTTTACAAGAAACAAACTTAAAGAGAAAACAAATAAATATCAATATTTTTTCCACAATCTAGATACTGTATTTACTAGGAAGAGATAGACACATACTGTTATTTAACTGATTCACCTCTGAAGTCACGTTTGAACTCTTCCAAATCAAAGATCAGAATAGTGCATTTTAAAATTTCAGGGGTGAATGACCTAATATATCTTGTCCTATTTGTTACAGTCTCCACTGATCCCATTCATCACAGAACACATGTACCAGAATCTTCAACACTTGCTCGACCCAGCCTACACAAAGGGCCTTGACACTCGAAGTGTCCACTTCCTCATGATCCCTGACCCCAGGTATGTCTCAAAAACAACCAGTTTAACTCATTTAACCCCGAAATTTCATAATGAACTATTCCAACCTTTGAATTGGAAGAGTTCAAATATGTCTTCAGGGGTGAATGATTTAACTTTACCTAAATTTAAACACAAGTTAACAGATATTGGGTCGATCGGTATATTAACCTAGTTATCTAAATTAAACCATATTGTCAGTACCAGGATGTCTGATTTTTGTTGAGACAACTTTCAGATGTAAATGTTGTAAGAGAGATCTTAGGTATGCTTTTTTATATTTACCTAATTTCTACAGAGACATTTTATTTCTGATATTCATTTGAATAGTTGTAGAGTGTACCTTATATACTATATTGTTGTGGAGATAATAGATTTGTGATGTTTATTCTAATAAAGGGAGGATCTGATAGATACACAGATAGAGACGGCAGTGTCACGCATGCAGTCTGTTATAGAAATTGGACGCCTCATCCGTGACAGAAATACACTCCCGATGAAGGTAACATTGTTAACCTTCTTAATACTATATAAACTAAGAAAATAATGTATGTATACTTGGAGTACCTGTGTTTGTATGAATCAGGTTTTAAGGTTGAAATATTCTGTTTTGAATATAACTTTAGTGATAGAAGATGAACTATAATAAATGGGAATTTTAGTGCTGTTGAAATGTTCATCTATTCTGCATGAACTTAATTAAACCAGACCAAAAATAAACATATTTAACATTTGAAAAATTTCCACATGGCATGGTGATTATGAACTGTACAAAATATTAAATGTGAACATCACTTCTTTACAGTAAATTCATAGATTTGTCGTATTAAAACCTTTCAATTAATTAAAAATTTGTTAAATTAGTTTTAAGGTTTTTAGAAACAAATAGGTGTGATAAAGTAGATAAACTTTAAAAGATAAATCAGACTTACAACAGTTTAACTGATATTGTTTATGTCCCTTTGACTGTGTTACAGTATCCCCTGAAGGAGGTGGTCGCTATCAATAGTGACGAGGACGCACTGCGAGACATATCATTCCTCACCGACTACATCAAGGAGGTATACAATGAAATAAAAAATGAAGCTTTTTCATCGCATGTAGTGTTTGACTTCAATATAACCAAAGACAAGCTTTTTTGATCAAAATAATTGTCTAATTAGATTATAAAACTTTTAAATCATGCACAAGAAAGTCTGTCAGTTGCACAAGCATATACTGCCACAGTATGGTGTACATACAATGTTGAGGCAATAAACTTGAAAAGTTTAGACAAAGATGTGTAAGTAGTGATATACTCTACCTAAACAATAACTTCATTATTTGCTATTGAACAGAATATTTCATTTTTTACGTTATTAATGATGCATTATATCTGTTTGGTGCACAGGAGTTGAACGTTAAAAATTTAACCACGACCAGTAACAAGGATAAGTATGGAGCTGAGTTAGTGGCGGAACCAGACTTCAAAGCTCTTTGTGGAAAAATCAAAGATGCCAAGAAACTCTTTGGTGCCATCAAATTACTCAGCAACAAACAGCTGGAAGACTTTCAGAAGACCGGTCAGATAACTGTGATGGGGCATGTTTTGGAGGAAGGAGATGTACGACTCCACTACAAATTTGATGCAAAGGACAGCTCGACTCCAAACTGCTACGATGCACATGGAGACAAAGAGGTATGATTTAGTTGACACTTAGTATCATAGAAATGGGTGACTTTTATAGATTATAGTATGAAAGGTTAATAACATGATAATTTTTCAGCTGAAGTTTACAAAATAGATAGGGTTTTTTGATCCAAAAAATTTACAAACCTCCAAATTTGAAAGGCATTCTTTTGATGAATGAATTTTGCATTTGACATGCTTTACAGTGCATTTCAGAATTTTACAATCAAACCTGACTGTGCCACCACCTCTACAAAGAGGTCACATGTGTTAAGAAGAAACGACTTTGAATATTCCCTTTTGTAGGGATTTCCTTCTGAACTGAACCTGTATTTAAAGACCACCTATGTGCCTAGAGACAAACTTTTTTGGACTTTCCATGGGTGGTCTTTGAATACGGATTTCACTGTATCTGCTTCTTTAGATGTAATTTATTTAGTACTACAAATGTACAGTAGTTTATTTGTGTGAAATCAACAATTCTACCGGACAGCTAATTAACCATACTATAAATGATAATAATAAGTGGAGGTTCTTACATAATTTGAACCTACAGTCAATCACCATTGAGACTACAGTGCCTGTATGTGTACTATTCATGTGTAGTTCTACCTATTTATCAGTAACTGTATGGTTATAAAGTAAAGTATCAAGGCTTCTTGAGTTATTACTATCTAGTACATGATGTTTATAACAGGTGTTGGTGCTGCTGAATGTGACGCCAGACCAAAGCATGCTGGACGAAGGTATAGCTAGAGAGGTCATAAACAGGATGCAGAGGCTCCGGAAAAAGGCATGTATCACTGGCATCTTGTGTCCAGTGTCTAAAGATTTGAAAGGTTTTATTGAATACAGACCTATTTTACTCCAGTATAAATGCCATGTAGTTTTTAGTTAAATTCCAAAGAAAAAACTTAGTAACAAAATAGGAATGGGTTTGATTTAAATTTTCAATTTCAACCAAATGTGCTTGTATAGGCTTTTAATTTGTCAAAGGGATTAGACCTTACTCTTGAACTAATGACGTCTTTTCCTTTTGGTGGATTTAATGTTCTTTTCTAGGAACCTCGACCTAAATGTCCCAAAATAATGAATTTCTTATACGTCTAATATTTATTAGTGAATTTATTTTAATTTATACACAATTCACATATACCTTACATGATTAAACTCTTCCATATAATTTTCTTCTGCAGCTTGGCTTTTGCATCTCCGATATTCATAAGTTAATAAGTAATGTTTGGATTTTCTTGTGAACCTGAACTGCAAGTAAACTATAGACTGTATGTATTGTATAGGATATTAATAATGAACTTTTCAATGTTACTGTGTGTAAACTGTAGACTTTTGTATAGGATTATTATTAAGTTCTCGAATGTGTCTAACAGGGCGGAGTGGTGCCTTCTGATGAGATAGCAGTTTACTACCAGACAACTCCCAGTCTCACAGCCATCATCAACAACTTCTCCGACTTCATATTTAATACCATCAAACAGCCTGTACTACCCTACCCCGTCCCCGCAGGGTCAAATGTCGTTGTGGAAGAAAATGCATCGGTAAGTAATAAAATTGATGATCCTTGATGCACTGGAGCATCATCAATCCAAACTCTTCCTTCAGTACAAGTTTTGAGAGTTTAGTACTGTCTCTGTACATGTTGGAGTTTACTGTTCTTGTTTCTTTCTCACACTGCCTCAGGTAGTTTAACAAAATGATAGAGTTACTCACACATAACCAAAATTTGGTGAAAATATTTGCAAAACATTTTGTAAGGCCGACTTGAAATCTAAAATATAATATCAGAAATCACGACATTTTGTCTTCAAGCCCTTCTCTTTTGTGACGTCTGTGTGATATTGAGATTCTGTAGCACAATGAAGTTGACATCCCATTTGACACAATTTGAACCTAGTCAATCATCCTTCCTGTAGGTGTCATAAAACGTGTTAATATCACCATTTATATAATGAGTGTTATGACATTGTAACAGTTTAGTTATGTGATAAAACTTCAATTTGCTGTTGAGAAGAAAGCCAGGAAAAAAAGGGCTACCACAGTGCATCAGTAATTTTTAACTCACCTGAGCTTAAGCTCAAGTGACCTATTGCTATCCGTCGTTGTCCGTTAACATTTAACATTTTTAACTTAAGCTGAAATACTGTCAAAGGGATTTCATTGATACTTCATGGGAATGTTACTGACATCACCCTGATCAAGGGTTGTTATTTTTCGGGTCAATCAGAAATCAAATATTGTCGCCACGCCCGCCATTTTGAAAAGCTATTTCATACTTAAAGTCAAGTTTTACTAGGCCAATTTAACTGAAACTTGGTAGGAATGGTTGACTCATGATCCTGGCAAATTAAAGTGTTGTTATTTTTTGGGTCGATCAGAAATACAATATGGCCGCCAATTTGAAAAACTGATTAAACTTCTAAGTCAAGTTCTACTGGGCCAATTTAACTGAAACTCGGTAGAAATGATCGACTCATGGTCCTGACAAAGTGTTATTACTTTCTTTTGGTCGATCAGAGGTCCAATATGGCCGCCGTTTTCAAAAATTATTTCAAACTTAAAGTAATGTTCTACTGGGCCGATTTAACTGAAACTTGGTAGGAATGATCGACTCATGGTCCTGGCAAAGTGTTCTTTTTTTTCCGGGTCAATCAGAGATTCAATATGGCCACCACAGGCGCCATTTTGAAAAACTATTTCAAACTTAATTTCAAACTTAAAATCAAGTTCTAATAGGCCGATTTTACTGAAACTCGATCTAGTAATGATAAGCTCATGGTCCTGACAAACTTAACTTGACGCTATGCGTAACTATTTTTTACTCCAATTGGTAGGGATTGATTGACATCATTATCTCCACTTCATATTTCAACAACAAAAGTAAATACTGTAGGACCCATGGGCCTCTTGTTTGTCATATCACTAGAGGCATACGTTAAAATTATACAACTTGAAAAGGAGTGGCTTGTTATATGTTTGACAATAATAATAATAATATCTATTCAGGAAAAAGGCGTACACAACAAAACAGTTTCACATAAGAAGGTGATTTACAAAGTTGATGTCTATAATTTATGTACTTGGCCTTACCCTGGGATAACCCATCAAAGCCATAGAAAGATTATTTCCAATGGGTTCCCCTACCTTACATTTAGATTTGAAATTGAATTTAATCTTCGCCTTCAGGTGAAGAAGGATGAGTTGAAGCTGACCATCGTGTCTAGGTCGGGAGATGGCCCAAAGAGTGCGCCCTCGCCAGTAGTACAGCCAGCCCCAGTGGTGAAGGGGGTCTCCCCAACATGTAGCTACATCAATGTACAGCTGTGTGGAATGGCTCCTCAGGAGGGTGTGTCTGGAGGTCATGCTACAGTCCTCCTAGAAAACCCTAAGGGCAAGGCCATGAGCAGCAGACAGGTGCTGGTGAATGAGGTATGTAATAATTACATTCTTTGTGAACTTTGTCAAAGGTTGTTTTACTCCACTATTCCAGCTATGCAACTGTTCATGTAGAATATATGCACTGCATTTTATATGACACTGACCTTCAAAGATGAAAAAAAATAGCCAAGTAATTTTGTGTCAGTCTGCTGATGCCTTTTACATGTGTCTGATAAAAAGCTCTGTAGTATTGTCTTCGTTAAATTTGTGATTTTTCAATAAATTACTTTGTTGTCGTGGAAGGAAATTATTTAAATCCCCAACTTATCCAATTTTAATGTCAGACAGATTAAACGGAGATTTAGATTAATTTGATGTATGTGTGAATCTTTAAAATTTATGTAAACTTTTACTACTTGAAGTGTATTTTTATTTTTTAAGGTGAAATCTGTGTTTGGTGTGCGTGGTGTGAAATTGGACGTTTACAAGGGCCGTGAAATGTCGGAGGTACTCCCAGTAACTGGTGATGTTGCTTCGCTGTCTGGTCAAACCTTATATGTCGCTTCTAAGTGTCGGGCGACTTCCACACCAGCGTCTTCACCAATGTGCCATTTTGCTAATGTGGAAATGAAAGGTGTACAAGGGACCTTACTCCTGGAGAACCCTAAGGGAGTGACATTGTCTGTGGATCAGTTAAAATCTCAGGTGAATATATACGACAAAACAGCTCCAAAAAACATTTTTAAGCTCTATTAGGTAATCGTAAGCACCCACTGCCAGCCTATGCCAGCCTGATTCAGTTTGACACATGACTTGGGGATAATTCCCAGGTCACATGACAGATCAGTCTGAAGCCCCAACTGATGTCAGTAAGGGCTGAAGGAGGCAACCAGGTGGTCACCAAAAGCTACCCATGAGTAGGCTTTAGTTGAGAGATATAGCTTAATGTTTGTTTAATCAGGTAATCTTGTTAGCAATTACCAAGGTATCAAGAATTGCAGAAATGAAAAACTACACATATATTGGCATCTTATAAATTTAAAAGAAAAATCCAATTATTTTTAACACCAAACAAGGACTTTTAAGTTAGGTTAATTAATGTCCACCCTATCATGGTTTTAAAAAGAAATAAAAGTCTGTTTTGAGGTATTCAACTTCTTTAATATAAATTCTATACTGAGTTTACATTTTTATTTAATACTGTTCTTTATGTTTCAGGTATCGGCAGTTTTTGGCCTTGATGGACAGAAAGTTGAATTATGTTCAACAAAAGATGGAAAGAAAAAGATAACAAGTGAAAATTGCAAAGACTGTCTGTCCCTTCACTCAAGTACACTGTATGCTGTTAAACTATGAACTAATTTTATAGTTTAACAGTACAATATAAATTCTGTGGCAATTTTTGAAGTTTTGACAGTTTGGAGAAAAAGGATATCGATGATGACTGTGTTTTTTGAGAAACTGACAAGATATCCATGTGGTTGTCCATTTCAAGAAATGTGATTTGGTAAAATTGTATTATCTGATGATCTTGATCTTTACAGATTTAGTGCTAAAAAAATTCTGATGTGCCTGATGAAGAGAGGAGAGATTAAAATATCAGACTCAGAGTATTTATTTTATGTGATATTCCTATAGAATTTGATACCGTTCCCTTGACAAAGACTATAAGACTCTTTCATGTCCAGGGGTAAGCCTCAAGTTTTACCAAATTTGAAAATCCTGAGGGTGGAATTTCCCTATCCTACACCCTCGGGCATGAATGAGTATTTTTCTCTCATTCCAACTACCAGAATAAGCTCAGAAACCATGAAAATGCGTTTGGACTGGCTTCCATTTTGAAATTTTTTCCCCTGAGCTTTTTTGACGAAAACGAATTCGTCAGTGACATTTAGCATACCCCATATTTTCAAACAAATTTGTGCAGAAATAATAATCTCATCTTTCTAACGTGTACGGTAACAGTAAATATATTGTAAAAGGTTTTAATTTCATCACGTTGCCTTTTCCGCATTGCAGCATCGGTGTTTTCCCAATTCGTGACGTCACATCATTGTTGAGTCATTATGATGTCACACCCATGTAAGATAGACTCAACAAGCATGGCTATCTTACATGACCGGATATGAGAGAATACACAGATCTTGATAGGAGGCAAAACCAAGCTTCATGATATGTGACATGTTAAAACATTTTTTTTGTTTTGTTGCATAACAATTACGTTAAATTCAACTACATTTTTGTTTTCAACTTCTTAGGAAACATTCATAGACTGGAATGTTACCATAAAATGATATTTGATATTAAACAAAGTTAGGAATATAGATTTTCTGTTCTGATCCCATTATCTCTTGTGTCAAAGAAGATAATGAGTATATGATGATTATTTTGGAAGCCAGGTTGTTGAAAACAGCTTATTTGCATATCTAATCTATATGTATGGATAAAGATGAACAATATAACATTGTTAAGCGGGATTAGTAGAACATATTCAGATTTATTTCACAATAAATTATTATATTTTCTCACATATTCCCGAGTCGCCAATTCTATTTGCTTGTATACACCAATTGAAAGGTATCCTGATTTATTAATCATTCTTCAAACTAGAATGGTATTAAGTAAGACTTTTAAGTGCATTACTTCAGCAATATTTTCTATATTTATAAATTGAATATAAACTGGAATATTTTTGAGGTGACTATTTTTGTCCACTTTGTTTGGAGAAATGGATTATTCCAGAACTTAGAAGTAATCTATCCAATACACTTTATACTCTATCAACAGACGGATGTGTCGGGATAATAATGATACTTCAAACACTAATTTATATACAGTCTTCTCATTTGCTTATTTATAAACGTGGCCGATTCAAAATCATGATTTGATTATTGATGTGATGACGGACATTTTGTGGCAGAGATTTTCCAAATAAAAGTTTGGAATTTTAACAGGTTTGTAGTTTTTCTTCTTGTTTTCAATATATTTCTGTCAGTAGAAGGAAATGTGCATTGTTTTTTTCTAATTCATTTATAGAAATTAAAAGAAAGGCCAATTTGAACAGAAGCTTACACAGCTTTGCAGTTCAGATATAACAATTCAGTAGAACCTCCATCTGTCATCAACTTCACTTTTTAAAACTAATGGTCTAAAACAGCTGAAGGGATTATAACTAAATTTGGTATTGAGCTCAGCATGAGTCAATGGGATTAAAGTTTGTGACTGCCCCAGGATAGGGGTGATAAGTGGATGAAATGCATTTTTTTATGGAAAAGTCAGTATAAGGAATTGCCTTTAACAGGAGAATAAAATCTGTCTATCTAAATAGCCCTTGTGTCGCCACTGAAGAAACGGGGAAGTGCAAATAGTATTTTTTTTAAACATACGATTGTTGTGAACCATCCCTCGGTCAAGAGAAGTCAAGTTTGTGTAACATCGATTTGGCCTACATCGGGACAGAGTTGCACCCAAAAAAGTAAATTGTTGGTTGGAAATCTTTTATTTAGAATAGTTCCGCTGGGTCAATATTAACCAGCCTTCTTACAAATTAAGTGATCGCAGACCAAGTATTGTGTAGCTGTAATGTTTTTCAGGTCGATTGCAAATTCAAGATGGGTACTTCATGGAAACGTTATCTCAAATTCCATCAAACCGATTTTGGCTAAACTTCATCTTTTAAACGATTTTATGATGGCCCTTATCTCGCTATTTTCGGGTCATTTAACAAAACAGACAGCTTCTCCGGTGAGCTAGTCCTCTTGGATAGCTTATTTATATCTTGGTAGCTAAAAGAATCAAAAAGAAATCTGGATTTTCAACCAGCCTCCTTCATTTACCATAAGAAATAGTTAATAACAGTAGCAATGTGGAGATTTATTCTGGGGCTTGACACCCTGTAACCATGGGTTTGTTACAAATGTCTGAAATACACATATGCTATACTGATTTGGATCTGTAAACGTAATCGGTTTAAATTGAAACGTTTGATTTCTTGACCTCGAACGATGGTCAGTAGATAATATAAACTGAGTGCAAATTGAACGTAAATCAGGAGACAAATTTCTGCATACATTTGTATAGTCCTTTTACATGAACATGGTTTGTCATTCGGCCAGTCCGAAAAGGTTGACAAAATTATGTCCTTCCTCCAGACATTATTGAGTCTGCACAGTCGTCAAAGGAGTTAGGATTATCATGTTTTTTTCCCTTCTTCACTACTTCCGTGACCATCCAGATTGTTGAAATTATCATGAAAACGGTAGAAAAATGTTTTTTTTTACTATAAGTTTTTTTTTTCAAAGTCAGTTAATCGTTTCCGGTTACCAGGGACCAAAACTCTAAACCTGTGACAATTCCCCTTCATATCTAATGGCATCCTCGACATCCTGGGGTTGTGCTCACTTTCGCTCTCTACACCCTTGAATATGTCATAGCAAAATTGAAGGCACCAAGAAGGTAAAAAAAACACTGACCAATCGCTAGGCTGATACCTGTTCTTTGAAGATTACAAAGGAGCGGTGCCTGACTTCAAAGCCTGTCATATTTTACCGTTACGTGACCACGAGATTCTTTTGATGTACATCAAAGGATCGAACTAGTTTTCTTGTCTCATCCACAAGGCGATTCACACTGAGCCTTCGATTTTGCTATGCTATTCCAGGGGTGTAGAGAGCGAAAGTGAGCTTAAGCCCTGGATATCGAGGATGATCTGATTGAAATGTTGATTCTTTTGTGGTTGGTACTCGATGACTCTCTCTTGACGGCGTATTAATTTCTGCCTCTGAATTTGTCGTCTCCAGATGAAGTTTATCTCTTCTTTATTCGACCTTCTGATTAGCTACATGCACCCACAGGGGCTTTGATCGCTTTACTTGTAATATTAAAAAAGGGTCTCCTATACTAATAAATACAAAGGGATATAACGACAGACTGAAATCCGTTACTCCCTTTTCTCTTTCAGCTCGTGTCAATCACAAATATTTGTCCATATTGGATATACCTCGGTTGAATATTGAAGACAAATGATTTATTTACAAAATGAAACCATTATTACGACTGTCTGACATATAGTTATCCACTGACACCGCTTTAAAGTCGCAATTACACCGTTAAATTGCGACCGAACCAAATTCTATACTCACGAGAAATGACCAAGTTTCACGGATAAACTCGAGAAATATATCCAAGGAATGGTTTAAATCCTTATTTAATATCCTCAATCCAATACATGTGTTGCCCACTTCTCTGAAATACTTCGTCGATCAGTTTCTACACATGACAAGTGGTATATCGGGTTTTCCCCCTCGCACACCTGCATTACACAGTAGTAGTAGGCGCCATCTTTTTTGAGGAGTAGTATTTCAGCGAAGCGGGCAACACATGTATTGGATTGAGGATATTAAATTAGGATTTAAACCATTCCTTGGATATATTTCTCGAGTTTATCCGTGAAACTTGGTCATTTCTCGTGAGTATAGAATTTGGTTCGGTCGCAATTTAACGGTGTAATTGAGACTTTAAAGCGGTGTCAGTGGATAACTATGTGTCAGACAGTCGTAATAATGGTTTCATTTTGTAAATAAATTAAATCATTTGTCTTCAATATTCAACCGAGGTATATCCAATATGGACAAAGATTTGTGATTTGCACGAGCTGAAAGAGAAAAGGGGGTAACGGATTTCAGTCTGTCGTTATATCCCTTTGTATTTATTAGTATAGGAGACCCTTTTTTTAATATTACAAGTAAAGCGATCCATGCCCCTGTGCGTGCACCTAACCTTTTTTCTCATTCCTCAACGAAATGTCGAGAACTTGTGAGGGTTTGTTCGGATGCGGTCCTTTTCCTTGTCGACTCCCGTATCTTTTTTCCACTTGCTTTCTGTATTCCAAAGGGATGTCTTGTTTCCTCAAGATATCCTTCTACCTCCCGTTTGGTGGGTACACTGACTGCGCCAGATGGAGTAGATGGGCCGTAATGTACGTAGAAAAAAAGGTCAATTAGCCATCTGGATGACGAGACCTGAACAAGACACTAGAAACAACACAGCTAGGGATGGGAGAGTGGAAAGGAAGCTAAGATCAAGGCTGCTTCCGTAGTAACTGCGATCGGAACGCTTGGACCGGATGAACCAGAGTTGTTCATTTATGAAATAAGGTCGGACCTGGTAATCTGATGCTGCCTTTTAATTTGCTGGTCCGCCAGGATTTATGTTGCATTTAAAAACAAACCAGATTTTTTTTCCCATAAATAAACAGACCTCAAGTCTCCGACAACTGTTACATACATTACATACGTGGTCTGTAGCAAGTTTTGGAGGGAGTCGGGGGCGGGGGGCAAACCTGCTCGGTTATTTGCCTCACTCAGATGTGTTTCAAATGAAACCGGCAATCTTTTTAATGATGTGTGTAAAAACCCATTGTAACCAGCAAAAACAACAACACAACGCAAACAAAGAAACACGCACACAACCAAAAAATAAAATTGTCCGGTTTTGCAGGTCTAGGAATTACTCCAACAGAGGTTTTACACGGCGAACAACTTTTGACAGGCGCCGTGTAACAGGTCGCAGTCATCAAAATCATATCCGATAGAAAAAAAACGACCAGCGGCCTCTCATGTTATGGGATTAGTCTAGGAATATGAACGTGACACATAAACTTGTGATTGCAACTTTAAAAGTTGTACATAAAGCATATGCCAAACCTGATTTACACTGCACCATACAGCTGTCTCGTCCTTCTTGGACTTGCCGATGATGCTAGATGCCAAAAAGATAGAAAACAAAATAGTTAAAAACTACTTTTGAAACAGATGAAGAGGTGTGTGAAATGCCTTCATTTATAAGAAATCTCAAAGTTAAGTGGATTATTGTTAATTTTAAATGATAGATAATTGTAGTAAAGAGGGTAGCAACAGCAGGTGTGATACCGGAACACTTGCGCACTGCTATGTAACCCCCACCTTCAAGAAGGGACATAAGTATGATGCATCAAATTACAGGACAATTTCCCTCACCACTGTCTGCTGCAAAACCATGGAGCACATCCTGACCTCAACCATCATGACTCACGGAGAAAGAAACAACATCTTCTATGATAGACAACATGGCTTCAGAAAGGGCAGATCATGTGGATGACATCATCAACAACCTTCTCGATATCCAGGGGTTACGCTTACTTTCGCTTTCTGCACCACTGGAATATTTCATAGCTAAATCGAAGGCTTAATCTGCGGTACCTTGTGGATGAGATGAGAAGACTAGTTTTATCCTTTGATGTACAATGTACATCAATAGAATCTTGCAGTCGTGTAACGGTAAAATAGAAATGCTTTGAAGTCGGGTGTCGCTCCTCTGTAATCTTCAAATGACAAGTATCAGCCTAGTGATTGGTCAGGCTTTTTTACCTGACACCAATGAAATAGCTAGCCGCGTGCCTTCAATTTTGCTTCAAAAAGCAGAGAGTGAAAGTGAGCGTAAACCTTGGATATCGAGGATACAAACCGCAGGCCAGCACACTGACATACGCATAATGAACTTTAGGAAAGCCTTCGAAAAGGTCAACCACAGTTTCCTCATCCACAAACTCAGTAAATACGGGATATGCAGAAAAATCAACTCCTGGATCGAGAACCTGCTGGCTGGAAGAACACAAACTGTCGTCGTTGAAGGTGAGAGCTCCATCTTGGGTGTCGACTCCACAGTCCCCCAGGGCTCCGTCCTAGGACCGAGTCTCTTTATCTATTACATCCCTTCGCGGATGACACCATGAAGCCTATCTCACCATTACATTAGGAAATCGACAAGCTGACCAAATGGGAACGGTTATGGTGCATGAAATTCCATCCCGACAAGTGTAACATCCTTAGACTCACCAACAAGAGAAACCCAATCAAGATCAGCTATCACTTACAGGGCAACTATCTGCAGGAGGTCAACACAGCCCCTACCTAGGTGTCACCATATCCAACAACCTTAAATGGGACACCCACGTTAAGAAGATAACAGGGAAGGCGAACAGAACCCTGGGCTTCCTACGGAAAAATCTGAAGGCTACATCTACCCAGATCAAGACACTAGCATACAACGGCCTGGTTATAGACCTTTACTGGAATATGCATCCTCTGCATGGGATCCGTACACACAGAACAACATCAACAGCATTGAACACATCCAGAGAAGAGCTGCGAGGTATGTCACGAACTGTTATCGGAACACGTCCAGTGTCATATGCTCGGGTGACAAGAAAGGAGGAAGGAATCTATATTAGTGATGATATACAAGGTAGACAGAGGTATGGTTGCCATCAGTAAAGAAAACAGAATGCTACCACCAAGACGACTTGCCAGAAACACTAATACTGATCCTTCCAACTCCTTTCCTACAGGACTGATTCAAGAAAGATGTCTTTCTTCCCCAGAACTGTACGTGACTGGAACGCCCTAGCACCAGACATCCCAGATACAGCCACACTCTCGGCCTTCAAGGCCAGAGTTACGAAGCTCTGAAACCCTTCGAGCTTCTGTTATCCAGGTTTTAACCTACAAACTTATTTTAACTGTACCAGTCATGTCGTGTGTAAAATACATTGCAGAAGCATCAACCTGTTGATGGAAGCAATTACTGGAAGAAGACTAAGGGTATATACTGTGAACCGTGCTCAGTACTACAGAAAACAAAGGGGACTAAAATACCCTCCAGAACTCTCCCCATTGTAACTTGGAAGATGACTCAATCTGATTAAAATCATATGTTACATGGCTTCGTTAACTTCGTACTACGCCTGAACATCTGTTCACGCCTGAACATCTGTTCAGCCGGATTCATGTAACAGATGATTTTAATCAGATTGGAAGATGACTGTAACTAATAATAGCACGTGTGATTGTAACTTGGAAGATGATGGTAACTTATAATAACACGTGTGATTGTAACTTGGAAGATGGCTGTAACCAATAATAACACGTGTGATTGGAACTTGGGATTGTAACCAATAATAACACGTGTGATTGTAACTTGTGATTGTAACCAATAATAACACGTGTGATTGTAACTTGGGATTGTAACCAATAATAACACGTGTGATTGTAACTTGGAAGGTGATTGTAACCAATAATAACACGTGTGATTGTAACTTGGGATTGTAACCAATAATAACACGTGTGATTTTAACTTGGAAGATGATTGTAACTGATAATAACACATGTGATTGTAACTTGGAAGATGATTGTAACCAATAATAACACGTGCGATTGTAACTTGGGATTGTAACCAATAATAACACGTGTGATTGTAACTTGTGATTGTAACCAATAATAACACGTGTGATTGTAACTTGGAAGATGATTGTAACTAATAATAACACGTGTGATTGTAACTTGGAAGATGGCTGTAACCAATAATAACACGTGTGATTGTAACTTGGGATTGTAACCAATAATAACACGTGTGATTGTAACTTGGAAGATGATTGTAACCAATAATAGCACGCGTGATTGTAACTTGGAAGATGACTGTCATTAATAATAGCTCGTGTGAATGTCACTTAGAAGATGGCTGTAACTAATAATAACACGTGTGATTGCACCTCAAAAACATTGTTTGGTATTTTCTTTCAATTTTATTATTAAGTCACAAATTAAGTTTTCTTAGACTTCACTATCATTAAAATCAATTTTATAAAAAAAAATGTGTTTGTGTTATACTCTATTACGTCTTAATTCAAATGTTATCATATATAAACGCTGTTATCAAATTATACTATATTGTTACTTTCTATGCAGTCTGAGAGTTTGGTCGGGATTGGCCCAGCCAACAACTCTCTTCTGCAAGAAGCAAAAATCAATTTGTTTAAATGTATCATTTGTATAATATTTTAACTATTCAAAGCAGGATACACTTGTTACTATCTTATTTATTTCAATTTGTTTTTGGTTTTAACTTACATATGGGTACATGCCAATCAATTACTGTACATTAATGTATTAGCAGTCTTAGAGTTTGTTCGGTATAGGGGTTGGTCCAACCACTTGCCCATGCTATTGGCAAGTAACATTTAAAGTTAATACACTATTTGATTGCTAAAATTCCAATATATGGTTAATCACTTCATATTTTGAATCATTCTATTAACAGCATTATTTTATTGATTACAGCCTATGGCACAAGTATGTAATTTTATAAGTCTACTAATATATCTGGTCTAGGGCATGAAAGAGAGCTTGCAGATGCCCGATCACCTGCTCTCCAGAATGCCATATATATGATATCCGATACGAGACAATATAGGTTTCTGTTGTAACATATTATATCTATTTTTAGGTCACCTGAGCTTTGCTCAAGTGACCTATTCCAATCACTTTCCGTCCGTCGTCGTCCGTCGTCCGTCGTGCGTCGTGCGTCGTGCGTAAACTTTTACATAATCAACTCCTCCTCAAGAACCAGTGGATGGAATTTTTTCAAACTTGG